CAAAAAAAAACCCAAAACCCAATCAAGCCCAACCCCCCAGCCCCCCGCGGTGCCCGGGCCCCGCCGCCCCTCCGCCTGCCCGACGGGCTGGGAAGTAGGTGGCCCCGGCCGCCGTGCAGTTTTTCCGAGGACGGCCCTGCGGTCTTTGTTAAAGTAATAATATATGTACTCTCCGCGTCCCCTTTTCATGGTAATTGCAGCTTATTTGGGTATTTGTTTAGCTTAAGCAGCGCGCTGCTGACAATGGACGATTTGCTCTAGCTTGCATAGTTTGGAAAATCGCACCTCTATCTATGCATATCTGAGCGTCCCCTACGACCACCACTAAAAGGCTTTTCGTGTTTGACTTCCAGTCTGTAAGACCTGTATCGTGCGTTATTTGGAGACCAGCAAGTATTGTCCTATCTGTGATGTCCAAGTTCACAAAACTCGACCGCTTTTGAATATAAGGTAGGAGCAAGATGCAATGCGCACCCCGCATCTCTTATTTTACTTTCTATGGGGAGACCAGCCGCAGTCGTGTCGATGTTATCTCCTCGTCTGCGATTTAAATCTGAAAGGACTTGTCAATTTACAAGCTAACTCGTGTGTGTGCGCTCTCTCTTTGGAGTTTTGTCAGTGATTGAAATTGAAGATTTCTCTGGAGGCGAGACAGAAAGTTTCTGTAGGTCTTTTTTTGCATCGGTCAACCGCTGATGCAATGCCTCTCCCCTCTCTCCCCTCCTCATCCGTACCATCTCGGCAGTTTCTACCTCCACTTTCTATTTCTCCCAGACATGCTGCACTCCAGCCATCGTTCCTAGTCACGAAAACTCTTGCTGAAACTTTCCAAGCTAAGAGCTTTAAAGCATGCTTCTCCTTTCAGAAATATTTTTCTCGTCGGTGTTGCTTTTTGCTCTCTTTATTTTCTAGGGGGGGACCTGTAGTTTTCAAGGCCTTCCTGCAGTCCGAGGGAATTATTTTTCAGTTGTGGCAGCACGGATGAGTTTTGGTTTATAGCGGTATTTAGAGCAGCGTTAAGTTTGATTGCAAGGTCTCCTAAGTTAACTTTTTATGGCCAGCCTCCCACTTTGTAGAAGATGCCTCATTGTTGTGAAAGATTATAAATGAGGAGCTGCCGCTTGGATTAAAAATATCACTTGCTTAATTTTATGTTTTGGGGTTGTTCTTTTTTTCAGGTCAGATAAAACTCTCCAAGATATTGTATACAAGCTAGTACCAGGCCTTTTCAAAAGTAAGTAGTTTTTCCTTAAGAGCAGAAAAAGAAAACCAGAGCTGCTATCCTGTGCCACTGCCGGGAGTTACAGAGCAGATACTAAAAGAAAAATGTATGCTTTTCCATCTAGATGAAATGAAAAGAAGACGGGATTTTTATGCTGCTCATCCGTCGGCTGATGGTAAAAGCTTCTCGTTCGCAACTTTAATAAATGTAGCCCTGGCCTAGATGCCTTGCTGTTTCCTTTTTAACTTACAAATTGTGCATTACCGTGACAGAATTTTAAGAAGTAAATTCAGCGTAATAAAAGTTTTATTGTTTTAACAGTTAGGTAGCTTTAATTCATAATCTTACTGTGGAGATTTTTTTTTTGTCTTTCTTGTTACTGAGAATTGCCATTCTTCCTGATTTGAATTTCAAAATGTAAATTATTGTGGAAATTTCTGCGCAGCTGCCAATGGCTCTAATGAAGACAGGGGAGAAGTGGCTGACGAAGACAAAAGAATTATAACAGACGACGAGATAATAAGCTTATCCATTGAATTCTTTGACCAGAATAGGCAAGTTCCAGAATGGCAATATTTTATGTTTACCTGACTGATAGCAGCTATATTTATTATTTGTTGTAATTGTTTCATTTCTTCTCACAGACTGGAACGGAAAGGAAATAAGGAGAAAGAAAAATCGAAGGAAGAGGTAAATAACTTTCCTTTATTCCAGAGGAAACACAACACACACAAACATCTTTGGGGCAGGTTTGTAGCTGAGAAAAATACCTAGGTATGTGTGCCTAGAACAAAAGCAGCACACCTCCTCTAATGGCCCTAGGTACAGAAGAGGTACAACGGCTTCATACAGCTGTTTATGTAAGCAACTTTTTAAAATAAAAAAATACTCACTGTGTTACTTTTAAAGCAGAATCTGATTTTTTTTGTCAAATTCTGCAATAAATTTGTATTTTAATAAATTATCAATTAATTTAAAAATTAATATGTAATGCATACATATCCTAAAAAGACATTTAGTATCAGATACAAATCTTTATGTATAAAATGAGTTGCATTTTTTTATTACTTTCTCTGGAACTGTAATTTACCGCTTATTACTCTTGTTCCTTCTAAGGCAGCAGAAATTGTTCTATTATAGTTTATAATTTAATAAAGCACTTTTTTTTTCTTTTTAAATGACGTAGAATGTTAGAATACAGCTTTGGTGGGAGTGACTGCTTGTTCTTCGTAGACTGATTTTCTTTACTATGCCATCAGGTGAATGACAAAAGATACTTACGCTGCCCAGCAGCAATGACAGTGATGCATCTAAGAAAGTTCCTGCGGAGTAAAATGGATATACCCAACACTTTCCAGGTACCTATGGGGAAAGACCCATTTTTTAAAAAAATCGGTCACGCTACGCTAAGCCCGCTAATGCTGGTTACGGCCACTTCCAGCAAGTGCTAGCTACCAAGTAGTCCTGGTATGTGCTATACGTTGATGGGATTATGAACATCATTTTTGAAATATCTATCTGGAAAGTTTGGTGATGCTCTGTAATTTTTAAATGCTGTAAATATCGAGGTATCTAAAAATTGCTCCTTAGTGTATTTCAAATGTTTCCAATAGGTATGAAAATTCCTGGCTGGTTTTGGTATAGCTTTTTTATTTTCAATTTTCTGATATATATGGCAGCGGGGCTGCTTTCCCCTCAGAGCAATTGTACGCTGGGGGTAAATGCCTGGCTGCTCCTTAACGCAAGGATTTGTATCTTGAGCAGATTGATGTGATGTATGAAGAGGAGCCTCTGAAGGACTACTACACCCTAATGGATATTGCCTACATCTACACCTGGAGGCGGGTGAGTAGGTCCAGCATGCCTGCCCCCGGGGGGTGTGGGTCATGGCCTGGGGAGGGCGCTTACTAGGGTCTCCCTTTTGCCTTGCAGAACGGGCCTCTCCCCCTGAAATACCGGGTCCGACCTACTTGCAAGAGGATGAAGATCAGTCACCAGAGGGAAGGCTTGAATAATAGCGGGGAGCTGGAAAGTGACTCTGGGAGCGACAAGGCGAGCAGCCCGGCGGGGGGCATCCCCTCCACCTCCTCCTGTTTGCCCAGCCCCAGCACGCCGGTCCAGTCTCCTCACCCCCAGTTCCCCCACATCTCCAGCACCATGAACGGCACCAGCAGCAGCCCCAGCAGTAACCACCAGTCCTCCTTTACCAACAGAGCACGGAAAACATCGATAAATGGCTCCTCGGCCACTTCATCTGGTTGACGGGCCAACCAGGCTACCGCCCCCGCCCCTCCTTTATATAGATCTCTCCATGCCATTACAGCTTTATAGATGCTAATCCATGTGACTATCGTCCAAATTGCTTTCTTTTGTAGTGACACTGAACTTGGCTATAAAAGGCGGACTAGGTGACATTCAGGATGGACGTTAATGGAAACGCAAGATTGAAATGTAAATTGTTTTCAGAGGACTGGGAAGCAAACAAAAGTTACACCTTCACCTCTTCTGAGTGATGCGGAGTTGTTTCCGTCCCCATCATCATCTGGACTCGGGAGTCTCCAGAAGTCGATACAAATCCCGGGAAGTAGTTTGTTAATCCAGACTAACTCCTCCATTGCGTTCTCTTCGATTGTTATTGTTCTTATGCTGTTTTGTGAACCTGTAGAAAGCAAGTGCTTTTTCATCTTGAAATCCAACGAAACGGAAAGAATATGCATAGAAGAATGCATATATGTAGCCATGTCACTGTGAATAACAATTTTTGCGTATTAGCCATTTTGATTCTTATGTTGCATCTTTTACTTCTCTGTTGCTGCGCAGAACCGATCAAAAGAAAAGTAAACTTCAGTTTTACAATCTGTATGCCTAAAAGCGGGTATTACCGTTTTATTTACTGACTTGTTTAAATGATTCGCTTTTGTAAGAATCAGATGGCATTATGCTTATTGTACAATGCCATATTGGTATATGACATAACAGGAAACAGTATTGTATGATATATTTATAAATACTATAAAGAAAATATTGTGTTTCATGCACTCATGATATGGTTGTTAAATTTCTAAACTGGTTCGACCCTTGCAGATGCCGCCTGTTTGAGCTTTGCTCATACTGCAAGAAACACTTTGCGTGTGAGAGCTACAGTATTGGGAAAGCACATTCGAGTCTCTGATAACGTGGAGGCAATTGGCAATCTTAAAAGGACTTTACTGGCTTTGTCTTTTTTTCCAAGTGATATATTTTTACTTTACCAAATGTCGATGTGATGCAGTGAAGGAGAAAAAAAAAAAAAAAAAAAAAAGGAAAAAAAAAGTTAAGGGACATGGAAGTCTTTGACCTGTTTGATTACCTTTTTATTATTTGGTGTGGTGGGATTGTGTTTTTAAAAGCACATGGAATCATTATAGAAGCCATAAACTATTTGGTATAAATTTTAAGGAACCAGCAGGTCGCTGGATGAAGGCATTTTATCTAAATTTGTTTTAATATATATGTATATGGTACAGTACTAACTTCATTAAAATTTAACAGGTACTTTAATATTTCCAATAAATTGTGGAGAATGCCTCCTCTTTAATGGCCTGCAAGTAGGTGCATTTTATTAGAGGCTTCTAAGGGTATTATTTTTTCAGTAGAAGGAACTTTTCCACCATAAAATATGAACAGCCCAGAACACTTTTCAGTTTGTGCTTTGCTTTGGTCGAACTTCGTGTGTGTTCATCACCCATCAGTTATACATTTGTGAGGGTGTTTATTCTATATGGATATTGTTTCATGTTTGTACGGGAAAATTGTAGTTAAACATTTCATTGTCTCCAGTCTGCAAAAGAAGCACAATTCTATTGCTTTGTCTCGCTTATAGTCATTAAATCATTACTTTTGCATATAAATTGCTGTTATTTGTCCTGCTTGTTTTTATAGACCAGGTGATTGCAAATCCTCCACAAGGTTATTGCTTATTGATGTATAATGTCTTGTTAAACAAGAGTTGATATTTTTTCCTGTAGTAAACATGTACAGTTCAATTTCAACAGTAAAAACTTCAGTTTTATATACACGAATAACTTTCATTTATAGCTGATCAAAGAAATAAACAAATAAAAGGGATAATTCATTGAAAAATAGCAAATGACCTCTGTTGATAATGTGGTGTTAAAGGTCCAAACCCTTGTTCTCATTGGAAGTCTTTCTGGGTGTACAAAAGATTTTAGTGAACAGAACAGTGTAGTACTAAACAGCAGCAGCAAAAAGAAAAAAAAAAAAAAAAAAGCCTGGAAATCGCCATGATTTGTTTTGGTTGCCTGCCTGGAAAACATTTGCCGTTCTTTATTTGACCCCGAATTATTCTTGAGAATAAGCAAATGGTCCCAGGCAGGCACAGGTTTTACCCTCTCTCTATTCAAACTTGGCCCCTGTTAAACTGCACGGGCTGGGAAGGGAAGAACGGGATTTTGGCGGTGGCGAGTGCCAGGTTCCCCCTGCGCTGCCCCGGATTGATTTTTTAAAGCCTCAGTGGAACTAAATACTTTTTAATGTAAAGATATCTCTCCATGCGACCGAGTGTCTGTCTTGGCACGGTTCCCTCAGCTCTCTGAGTTAATCGCACTGTACCGGTTGAATTAATTCACCCCAAGACCGGCGCTGAACTTGCGGCGGAGGGTTGTACGCTAGCCCACCGATCAAATTGCGCTTGTTTATGCTGAAAGTAGCTGATAATGACAACTTTTAGCATCAAAACGGAACTCTTCTCGGTCTTTGTAAAGTGTCCGTGAAGCATAAGGCAATGAAACAGGAGCTGGATAATTCCCTTCGAGGTTTATTAAGCTCTTACAGCACTTTCGACATCTCCCAAGTTGACATCTCCCGTCTGAAAAGGAACAAACGTTTTCGGTATCTCTCTTGCCGAGCTGCAGAAGCCGCCGAGGATGTTTGTGCTGCCATGTGAAACTTTTGTTTCGCTGCTGGCCCTAGGCAGATGGCACTGCGATGCGTTTATATTGCTCAGCACAATTGGGAGGACGATCAAAGATAGCATCTTGATGCTCTACTTGAGAAGCTGCTGTGTCAACTTCCCTGGTTTCACAATATTTTTCTTTGCAGCTACATAGCGAACGGGTTTCCTTACAAATGTACGCAAAGCCTCCCTATTTGGAAAGAAATCTCAGCTCGGTATGTGGAAGGAGAAGCTTTTCTTTGTCCGACGTTGCACTGACATAGGTCGGGGGATAAAGCCGAAGTCTGCTGCGTTTTTCTGAGCTTGTTCAACAAGCAAGCTGATCAAAGGTGGAGGCAAGGGGCGGCGTGTGCCCGCTGGAAAATGATGGTTTTCTGTCTTCGTCCGACCAAATTTTCCGCCCCGGTTCAGCCGCCTGCGGCTCCCAGCCGCGCTCGGGAATGGGGGACAGGCGGTAACGATCCGGCCCCGGGGAAGGCGAGGCAGGGGGAGGATACAGAGCTCCGCCGGCTTGGGAAGAAGGCGAGGCAGGCGTAGGGAGAAGGAATGCAGAAACGGGCAGAGAGAGAGAACGAGAAGGAGCACGACGAGCTTGCTAAGCCGAGCTGTCCGCCCCCCAGCACCGAGCTTTGCTCACAACAACCTGCACCGCTGCCTTCCAGCAGGCCGGTGCCGGCGGGCGGGCAC